AGTAATGTCTCTCTAATTGACGCCCAGATTGTCCACAAAAACTGGACAATTTTTGGAGAGGAAGATTATTCGAGCCTTGCGATTCGTTTTTATAATTATGAATTGTCAAGATTATGGCAAAGTTATGCAAGGCTTGAATAATCATATCTCCTCTTCCCAAACTGTCCACATAACAGTACAGTAATGTCTCTCTAATTGACGCTCAGATTGTCCACAAAAACTGGGCAATTTTGGGAGAGGAGACACGATTATTCGAGCCTTGCGGTTCGTTTTTACAGTTAACAGATTGTCAACAATTATAAAAAACGAGGCTCAAATAAGGCAAGGCTCGAATAATCGTACCTCCTCTTCCAAAAATTGTCCATTTTTGTGGACAATCTTAGCGTCAGTAAGGAAGACATTACTGTATTACGAAGCACGATAATTGGTCAACTTTGTCGCACTAGATCTCGGTGACCGTGCACGACATTCGAAAATTTCAAACGGCATTCGATACCGTTGAGAGAATCGCAACTCGACCAACATTTTGCGATAAGGTGCGACTGCGCTAACCTTGAAATCTCCGTCGCTTCTAATTAGACGCATCGGACAAATTTTGAAGAATCAGCTACCGGTCTTGGAGTGAAATAGAAATCTCATCGACGGTTTTTAGCAAGCCCGAATTCTATACGAAGACTAAAACGACGGTATATTTATATTAGGTTTTCGTCTCGACGAGAGAGCGGAGTCGCGCTTTGCAATTTGTCCCCATAAAGATGCCGACCTAAATAGCTGGCCGGCGGCTTTAGCATACGTACGAGCCGCCACGTGCACGCGAACGGGTATTAATCAATCGGAGACCCGTGCGAAGAATCAAGATCCGAAAAGTTGCTTCATTATGACGAAACTTCCGCGTTTCCGTTGATTACACACGGGCGTGCCCTTTCCGCCTTCGCGTTCCGAATAACCGAGGCTGGAAGCGGTCCAGTAATGTGCGAGGAGAATAACCGTATCGAGTTGGACGTTATATCGCCGCGACCCACGTTTTTCGTAACTCGTTAGAAAGGCAATTTAACTTGTCGCCGACCTCGCTTAATACAGCAACGTTATCGAGTTCTCCCGGCTCTTTCTCCGTTTGTACTCCGATTGCGCCGTTAGACTAAACAATTCTCGAACGGCTGATTTGAATTTTTCGCGGGCTTCGCATGCCACGGCGTTCCCGTCCGGCGCGGCGTCAATTGAGATCGGAATTTCCTACAACTGTGTGCAACGACTCGAGTTACTGCTGCAGGCACATATTTTCCACTTTTACAACGTCGGAGTCGCCGGGAACTCGATAAAATTTCCACTTCAGCGGACGAATTTGTAGACGGTTGAAACAATATTTTAATACGTTACGCTACGCGTCGTTAATTATTTTGTTAATTTTTGGGTCTCTGGTATCGATCTTCTTCGTGTTCTTTTTTAATGTAATTATTTAAAATATTGTACTTTAATGAAGCACTTTCGTCGGCTTCGTTTCTTAACGTGGTTACGCGACGCGGCGAAATTATATCGATAAATTTTTGGAAAATTATACATTTTCCTATTCCTGCCATCCGAATAAACGATATCGAAGTAGAACTGAAATATTTGGATAAATGCCAATCTTAATTATTCGCGAGACACGTATTTTTGCGTACTGTCAGTCTTCTACTTATTAATTTAGGGGGGGATTTTATAAATCATGCGCGTGTCACATCGAGATTTCATTCTATCTAGAGCATCATCTATTTTCTATTAGGAATGATGCGCACGAGTACCGCGATAGCGACGTGATAGCGCTGCGATATAACCCCTATTCTGCAACGGTGCCATGATTCAAATACATGGTGCACCAAATCATATCGGACGATGTAGCAAAGGAAATCGATCTGCGTTACCGATCGAAACAAAAGATAACAGTAATCTTCTCTTCCCTTGTGCTGTAACAACGAACCAGACTCGTGACTACCAATTACAGTTGGGAAGAGGAGATACGATTGTCCGAGCGCTGCACTTAGTTTTTATAATTGTTGTCAAGGCTCGAATAATCGTATCTCCTTTTCCCAAATTGTCCAATTTTGTGGACAATCTGGGAGTCAATTAGAGACGCCCTTACTGACGCTCAGATTGTCTACTAAAATCCAGAAAAATCATCGATCGTCATCACGTCAAGATCGTTGGAAAATAATTATCACAGGGATGGAAGGAAAGCAGCGTCTTCGAGAGGAAAAGATTGATATTTAAAAAAAAAAACACTTCATTTTAGTGTTATCTAGACATGAAGTTACGATATGCCTTCCCACTTCGAAAAATCCGGAAAACGAATTCCACTAGTCTCAGTAACTGGTCCAAAATTTTGCTGCGGAGACTAGTGGGATGGATTTCCAGACATATCCCACAAATCCGGAAAATGAAGTCTACTAGTCTCAGTAATTGGTCCAAAATTTTGCTGTCAACCTAGCGGGACCAGTTACTGAGACTAGTGGAATGGAATTCATTTTCCAGATTTTTTGAATATGTCTGGACCAGTTACTAAGACTAGTAGAATTCATTTTACGGATTTTTGAGATCTCTTCAGAAATCAATCCCACTAGTCTCAGTAACTGGTCCCGCTAGATCGCTAGCAAAATTTTGGACCAGTTACTGAGACTAGTGGAATTCATTTTCCAGATTTTTGGGATATGTCTGGAAATCCATCCCACTAGTCTCAGTAACTGGTCCCGCTAGATCGCTAGCAAAATTTTGGACCAGTTACTGAGACTAGTAGGATGAATTTTCTGACAGATGTGGTTGCGAGTGTAAATCAATTTTTTGTAAACGTTCTCATTACTTTGGCTACAAATATCGCTAAAATTAACTGTTTATTACAGTTTATTATTATTCTTAAGTCTGTCTCCTACACATTTGCTATGCAAGTTAAAGTTTAAAATTTCTGGTTTCTTTGCGGTGTCCTATCCCTATCCCCACTAAAATCCAGAGAAATCATCGATCGTCGTTACGCCAAGATCGTTCGAAAATAATTATCATTTTATAGACAATCCGAGCGTCAATTAGAAAGACATTACTGTATGGATGTTATGCATTTTGTCCTGATCTAGACAAAATTGTATTTTCTTGTTACCAAATTCTAAAAATAAAATTAGAATCAGATCCTTTAATCCTCTGCACTCGAAGCAATTTTAACCGTAAATCTAGAATAATTTGTCTGACTTCTGGTACATCCTTTTCGTACGACAAAGTGCACTTTATGCATATGGAATTGAGTTTAGTGACTCCTATAACGGTTACACTTTTAATTTATATTCCTGAATACTGAACTTTGATAATATAAAAGTTACCTTGGAACCGTGATGTGACAATTTCAGCGGCGTCTCGGAGTCGCAAAGGGTTAAATTTAACAGAATTCAGCCGCGTAAAAAGTGCTGCAAAACGCGATACAGCTAATTTTCAATGGTGCCGCACAGTCGTCGTTCGAGTGCGAAGGATTAATATCTCGCAGCATGAAATTTCATCGGATCGAAAGAATGTCGTATGCGTCCAGACTCAGCAGTCTCGTAAAGACGTTACGCGGATAGGGACGGATTGTTCCCTGCATATCGGCTGTTAAGTCATCGCAACGGCATCGAATAGCACAAAGGAATCGATCGTTTGGACTGGTCTTAGCTACTGGATAGCTAGGAGGCATAACTTGCTTTCAACGAAACTTTTACGAAGCTTGCAGCCAGGAATTTTCTCGCAGTTCCATCGTTCAGCGAAACAGAGGGAGGAAGAAAGATAGGAAAAGAGAGAGAGAGAGAGAGAGAGAGAAAGGGAGAGGTTCGAGAGCCCGCGAGATACGAAGCACACAGGTATCGGACAGGTATGAATATCGCATGACCATCGGTCTCGTTCGAACGGACCCTCGTGTTTGACCTCGCGCGTGCATGCGAGCGTCACGTGAGGACATAAAATATTTTGTCGCGGCGCGACAATTTACCCTCCGCCCGCTATTTGCCTCCTTCTTTTCGGGGGGTGGGATGATAGAGGGAGGTGTGGGTGGCTCAACAAAAAATCAATAGGCCGCCGCAGGAAATTGAATTTGGCCCGCGCGAACTGGCCCGATGTGTACCGCAGCTGCGTGGCCGTCGGGAGAAAGGAAAAAATGGGAAAACGAGCGCGAAGGAAATAGCACCTGTCGGTCGGACGCGACCGAGCCACCTCCATCGAGATTCATTCGATTTCTAGCCCGGCTGAAAATGTGTTCAACCCTTTACAACCGTACGTCTGTTTCCAGTCATCCGGCGGATATCCATTCCACTCGTACGTCTGCCTTCGCCCCCCACCCCCGCCCCCGCCCTCCCCGTCAATGAAACTAGATGTGTATTGCGATTCTTTGTGCCCCGCGTACATCTGCTGACACCGAATGTGATGGATTGGGAACGGAACGCGGCAGTTCCTTTTTTGTTACTTCTGCGGGGTCCGAATGTTTCTATTGAAATCGATCATCGACGGTATTTTGTTGCCCTTCCTCCATCCCCCCCCCCCCCCCCCC